AAAGGTGGTACGTTGGTCATGGAGTTGTGCTTCTCAATTTTTGGGCTACTCTTAGGTGGGGCAAAGATCTAGTGAGTTATGTACCTCATTTATCCCTACCTTTTAGTGCAATTCCATTTTGTATTCAGCTGAGCTTTGCATCACTGCCAAGCCAGACTTCTTAGGATAAAATAGAATGAAAGTTTTCAGTGTATTTTAATAACATGTTCATGAATATCAAATTTTAGCAAGCTTTAACGACATACACTTAAAAGTAAGAGTTAAATTAAACTCTGTCATAGATAAAAATCAGAGTCTATGAGATTGCCTGTATGTCACTCATAAAAACCAGGGAAAGAATATGGATTTTGAGATCAGTTTACAGCCCATAAAGGACTGCAGATCTTACCTTCACAGTGGAGAGTGGTTCTCAGTCGTGGTGAAGAAGAAAGGTGTCAGAGAACCTGAAAGCTAGTTCGACTCTGTCCCTTACTAAGTGTGTAATTTGGCAAGTCCCTTAAGTTCACTGAGCTTCATTTGCCTCCTTTATAAAACAAGGGCAGTAGCTTCTGTGTTGGGAGGTTGTAAGATTAAATGCAAAGGTATATAGGAAGCATTCTCTGAACTAGAAAGCCTGTAATTTTTAAAGTGTTTATTGGGGTCGGGTGCAGAGAATAAATTTTACTTGAAGGACACACTTTCACTAAGCACAGGATTGTAGGGCTAGGTTGCTAAGGGAAAGCAGAATCCTTTGTCTTTGGTATTTGAGATGCGAGTGTCCCCTTCCCAGGGCTGTGGATGAGAACTAGAGTCCAGGTTTCTGTCTCTCTCGGTCTTCTCCCTAGGTCAGGTGTGACCTCTATGTCAATCTCTAAGCCTCTCCCTCAAATCCAAAAGCCAAAGTTCTTGCAGAAGTCCAGAAGCCATCCTCGCCCCACTCCCATTACCAACCTGGCCTCATTTTCAGATCCTCTCCCGGCACTCACTTCCCTCCAGCTGCACGGCCTCCTTGCTATCCTTTGCACACCCAGGCTGCACTGTGGTCCCTCTGCCCGGAGTTGCCCTTCCAAATATCTGCATGGCTCACCCACTCAGGTCCCTGCTCAAATGTCACCTTTCCAAAGAGGCCTTCTGTGACTCTTTTGTTGCAAACTGTACACTGCTCCCTCCAATGCTTGGTTCCCCTTCCCTGCTTTATTTTCCTTTACAGGGCTTCTTACTGCCTAAAATACCATACATTTAATCCATTCACTTAGTTTTACATCTGCCTTTTACCATTAGAATAACGGCTCCCATCAGGCATGAATTTCTGCGTTTTGTTCGTGCCGATTCTCCCCGCCCCTGGAAGAGGGCCTGACATATGTGGACAGTGACTTGTCGCAGGTTGCAGAGCTGGAACTCAGGCTTGGCTCTGTAGGTTCCCAGGCTGCTTTCATTTCTATTTCATTTTGCCTCGCACCACAAATGACTTGTCCTCTCACTCATTCATTCCATAAACTTTCACTTAGTGCCTGCAGTGTATTTGTGGATATGCTAAGGGGCAACTCAGAGTCCTTGCCCTCATGGAACGGAGAGAACAGAAGACAAACGGAAGAAAACGGAAGGTCATCCAAAGTTTTAGGTGGAGATGAGCCCTATAAAAATGACAGCAGGGTCAGGGGACTGCAGTATGACTGGGGATGGTTGAGAAGGGCCTCACTAGACAAGACATTTGAGGAAAGACCTGGAGAAGGAGAAGGAGAAAGCTGTTTGAGTCCCTGGGAGGAAACAGCTCCAGGCAGAGGCTCCATTCTGGGAGACGCCATTGTGTGTGAGAGGGAATGCCAAGGATGGGAGCAGGAATTTTAGAAACACATTGATGAGCTCAGGGTTTTGTGGTCTCCTCTTTTTTGGTGTGGTGCTCTGATCATCGTTTGGATCCTTCTGAGTTTACAAACTCTCGAGCACCAACATGTACTGTGAGGGATGAGCCTTGTCTGGAGAATGCTGCCTTTGGTAACTGGTTTCGATCTGGGGGTAGGAGCCCGTCCTTAGTGAGGGATGGTGATGGCACGGGAAGGGAAACAGCCTAACTGTTGCTTCAGACTCTGCAGGCAGCTTGGAAAGGAGCTCACTAGAGGCCTGAGGAGGACGCTGGGCCAGGCAGGAAAACCCTGCATGTGTGCCCCAATTGGACTGCAAGCCTGATAAACAGCAGGGTTTTTAAGTGCACAGACTGAAGTATGGACAATGTGGAACTGTCGCATCCCAGTATCCTTTGAAATGAAAAGATGAGGGGCATCCAGAGAGGGCAGGATCCAGAATACCTTTGAATGGAATCACATGGATGATGTAAATTTTGACTTTGCTAAGATCTTGGGGGACCCTTCCTGATTAGTAAAAGTGCAAGTAATAGTATCTGATCTCTCATGATTATTGTGAGAACTGAATAAAATGCCATTCTTTCATAAAGTGCCCAGGCCAGGGGCTGGAGACATAGTTGACACTCAGAAGTGGTAGTTGATAATAATATGTTAATGATAATAATATGTTAATAATAATACATATTATTAAGTCCATCTCATGGCCTACTTTCATGAAGATGTTCCTGATGACAATGGCCCTTTTCTAAGCTCCTGTCATTGTCACGGTCAGTAGCACACATTCCTATTGTGGTACTTCCTTCCATGGTGTTTCGTCCTGTTCTCTGGTTCTGGTTTATGAAGTTAAGTGGTATCCTTGGATTTTCTCTATCCAGAGGGCTAGGGGGTGTGGGTGGGGGGCTGTTAGTTTGTGTAGACCTGTTCTGTTAGTTTTGTGCTACTTGGCAGCCTGCAAGTAAGAACTTGATGGAGGCATCAAAAGGAAGTAAGTTTCTGCGAAGACAAAGGCCCTGGGTTTGCACTGATGCCCCTTTAATCCAATATTACTTGGCTAAAAAAGAAGGCACCATTCAAATGTATTCCGGATCCTGCCCTCTCTGGATGCCCCTCATCTTTTCATTTCAAAGGATGGCAAGATGCGACAGCTCAGTGTTTCCCATGCTTCAATTAATCACACCTCCTTTTTTTTTGTTTTGGTCACATCCATCTGCTGTATAATTTCTCAGTAGTTTTCTTTGAATTTACTCACGTTTTAACATCAAATATAATGAAAGTAAAACTTTAAATCCCATGGGTTTGACAACTTAGTTGTACTATTCTGATATCCATTAAAAGATAGTGCAATTAAAGTGAAAAGTCTATAGCCTGGCCAGTATGGCTCAGTGGTTGAGTGTAGACCCATGCACCAAGAGGTCACCGGTTCCATTCCTGGTCAGGGCACATGCTCAGGTTGTGGGCCCAATCCTCAGTGGGGGGCATGCAGGAGGCAGCCAGTTGATGTTTTCTCTCACCGATGTTTCTCTCTCTCTCTCCCTCTCCCTTCCTCTCTCTCTAATATCAATGAAGAAAAAAAAATTGAAAAGTCTATCTATGTACCATCTAAAACCATGGGGCTTAGGGAAACATTCGCACGTAGGGAAACACTGGATCAAATAAGGCAGTAAACAGAATTTAAATTCATTGGGAAGAACTTGGTGAACAAAGGGTGATGAGGGAAATCAGTCACTAACTTTCCTGGGAATGTGGATTACTCTATTATTTTAGTGAGAAAATTAAAAGTCAGTGAGATCTAAAGGCAAGGGCTTGAATTAGTTGCATTTCCAAAATCTTACATGGTTTAAAAAAAAAAAACAACTTGAATTTCTCTGCTCTGATTCTACTAACACAGCTTTGGATTTCTATCTCTTTGTGGATCCAAAGCCCCTGCCCCACTTCTCCCCATAGCGTGTGATGTCTGATAATGCCTAGCCTGCACTCCGTCTTTTTCCTTCCTCTGCCCTCAGTTCTATGCCTTCTTCAGTTCACACACCCATGACTGTCTTGTCCCAAGGTAGTCCCTGAGTGCAGCCCACCCTATTACTTTCTTCCACTTCACCTCTCCAGAGCCTTCTCTTACTTTGGAAAACGTAAGTTAAATGCCAAGGCATCAGGCCAGGACATGTTCTTACTTTTCCAGTAGCAAGCTCAGCAGATTTGGGACCACTGACACCCTTGCTAGACTTCCCAAGGATCTTTGAAATGGAGTTTTGTATTTGTTTGTTAGATTTTCTAGCTTAATATTACTATCTAACTAGAAGCTGCTGCCAAGTGGAGACTGCTGTCTTTTTTCTTTTTAGCAAGAACAGTTGAATTCAAATGTCACTTAAATGACACAGAAATATGCCTTTTGTGTTGAGTACAATCCTCTGACAAGTTTAGCATAGATTGCTTTATAATAGTTAGTAAATGGAACTACATCCTCTTAGTGAGGAGATGAACATCGTGAGCCCTTAGGGAACTACTCTCCTGGCTGTGTCCTGTAGACTTGAAAGCAGTTCTTAGTTGGAAACATTACACATTCACTTTGTTCTGCTTGGAATCTGGTCTCTTCTGGCTTGGGAGCCAGAAATATTCCAGCTTCTTCATTTGTAACTTAGCTTCCATTTTTCAGCCCTAATACTTGGAAATGGCTGGCTGGCACTGGTTCCTTTCTTCTAACGAGAAACGTGGCAACCGCTTACCCGGCCTCACCCTCTATGCCCGGGAGGCTGACTCCGTTCTGAGCTCTTCCAAGAGCATGTGTTTGGCCTCAGGAATTATTTACATCTGGAGCCACATTTATGGAACCCCCCAGACTCAGATCAACCTTATTTCTGACCCAACTTGGGGACTTGAAACAATGACTCTGTCGTCTCTACAGCCTGACCTGAATTCCATGGATTGAGCAGAATTTTCTGTTTCCCCTGAGTTTTGTGGGTCTTCCACAGTGCCAAAGTTTTTTTTTGTTTTTTTTTTATCAGACAACCCCCCTCTCAATTCCTATGCAGTGTTCTAACCATCTTTCCCCAAACCCTCCTTGACCTATATGGGTGCTATTACTACCCATTTCACATTTTCTAATGTTTCTGCCTCAGATGGAGGATGCCTTAACCTCAAAAAGAAGACAAATGAGTTACTTACTTGGTTCCACAGTTACACGGGTTCCTTTTCCAAAGGTGAGTTCAACTGACACACAGCACTCAGGGCTTTTCAAATACTTCAGCGGTGCCCCCGCTCCTCTTCCTACTAACTGGAGGACTGGAGGGTCTTTAGGACTTGGCTCTGAGAAAGATGGCACTTGTCACCTATCCAATGGGTTCATGATGATTTAGTCAATTACCAGTGAGGGTGAGTTTGCTTTTGGGAGGATTTTGTCTGAGGAATAGGTAGGAGCACATATTCCTAGCGTGAAGATTTCCAGGACAGGTCATGATGTTCTCTGAATTGTTGCTTTCTATTGTTTTTGATTGTTCTCATATCCTAGACCACAGCTAGCTCTCAGTCTTGGAAAACTGCCATTGCCAAGCGGATGGGACTTGGATCCATGACTATTCCTTAAAGGACAGCTAACACGGGTGTCTCCGGAGCTGACCGGCGGTGTGAAGCACTGATCAGGTGCCCATGATTTACAGCATGGTCAGTTTTAGAAAGAGCAGCTACAGCTGGTGATTGCCTAAAAACAAATCAATCTCTGTTGAAATGCAGCCTCCCAAACCGCAAAGCAAAGCACTCAGGCAAATCTCTCCAGGAATTTGGATTCAGAAATTCCATATAAGATGGCTCACGTAATTCTCTTTTGCAACAGAATCAACACAAAACCAAGACAAGGACGGTTTTTAAACACCTTCGTGTATTCCCCAAACGTGGCTGTAAGAACATATTAAAAAGCCAGCTTCACCTCAGTGAGAAGAGCAGTGAGTGAGAGGTCAGCCGTTGGGGGTCACTTCTCTGGGCCCCATCAACTTCCTGGCATCCCTTCTCAGTCAGTCACTGAGCAAAGAGAGATGGCTACTTTCTGTGTTCATCCCCCTGGGCGTGGTAGCCAGGCTGAGAATTTCCCAGGGACGTGCCGCCCTCCCCTCTGCAGTTTTTGTACAGGTCTCTGAGGGTTTTGTAGCACTGTGAGTATCCCACCAATCACAATATTACAGAGCTTTACAAAAACCTCCCTGGGTTTCACCCTGTGTGAACTCTGAGAACCCCTGGGCTGGGTGTTTTCTGCAAGCCAAGCTCCAGCAAGATCAAAGGGTTTAGCAGCTGGGTCAGGGCAGGCTCACCCAGGTGCATCTGTCTGAGGCTCTTCTGCCCCACTGGCTAAATCTACCCTGGAGTTTGCAACTAGAATGGGCTTTCAGAGACCATCATGTCCACTCCCATCTGTGCTTTCTGGCCAGTCTTCTCTCAGATGCTTTCCCACAGAAGCATTTGTCAGCTATCTGAATGTCTCAAGTGGATTCTACATGCTGTGGGTTAGGCAGAAAATGTTTGTGATCAATGTAATTTCTCCTGTCACCTGCCAAGCTTCCAGATCACCTCTGCCTGCCCCAGCTTTACACCTGAATGGTGTTAAACACTTTACAAAGAGCTTCCACATAAATTAAAAATTTATCCTCTCCTTTGACTCCCTGGTTGCTAATTTCAGGGCCAGTAGCCCATATGGTGTTTTGTGTGACTTAGAAAAGGAAACCCTGCTGGGCGAGTACAGAAGAAGCAGCTTGGGTTCAAGCTTAGGAAACAGATGGCACCTTTGTGTGCTTTATAAAAGGTTTCCCTTTCTCCAGCTCATGCAGGTCCACAACCAGGGCCTTTAGCCCTACTTGTTCCTTTGGCCAAGCGCCCTTGTGCAAGGCATAACTGTGTAGCTAGATGCAGTGGCTCTGTACAAATTCAGTTGATACCTTTTATTTGTATTCTTGCTTGACCTCTGATTAAAAAAATTTTTTTTCTTTACTAATTTTTTTAGAGAGAGAGGAAGGGAGAGGGACAGATAGAAACATCAATGAGAAAGAACATCAATTGTCCGCCTCCTGGATGCCCCCCACTAGGGATTTGGTCCACAACCTGGGCATGTGCCTTGACCAGGAATCAAACCAGTGACCTCTTGGTGCATGGGTCAATGCTCAACCACTGAGCCACACCGGCTGCACTTGACCTCTGATTTTTGACACAGTTGCTCCCTGTTTGAAAACTCTTCTCTGGGGCTCTCAAGACACTGGGCTTGGTTCACCTTTGATTACTGTGTCTATCACTATGAAAATAAAGTGATACACTGGGCTTATCAAAAGTGACCTTATTAAGTGTGAACCATTAAAAGAGAGTGTGAATTCATTTTCTTTTCTTTTTCCCCAATTTTTATTAATTTATTTTTGTTAGAGATGTTTCTCCTTTATCCACGCTAGGCACCTTCTTCCCTATCCTGCCCCCTGCAACCCCGTAGCATTGTTGTCTATGTCCATTGGTTATGCATACATGCATATAAGTTCTTTGGTTCATCTGAGGTTTGTCAGTCTGAACCATACTCCTTTCTATGTCTCTGGCTCTATTTTGTTCATCAGCTCACCATGTTCATTATATTCCACAAATAAGTGAGATCATATGGTATTTGTCTTTCTCTGATTGGATTATTTTCCTTAGCATAATACTCTCGAGGTCCCTCCATGTTGTCTCAAAGGATAAGAGATCTTTCTTTCTTACAGCTGCATAGTACTCCATTGTATATATGTACCACAGCTTTTTTATCCACATCTATTGATGGACACTTGGGCTGTTTCCAGATCTTAGTAAATGTAAATAGTGCTGCTATGAACATAGGGGTACAAATATTCTTTCTGGTTCATGTTTCAGGATTCTTAGGGTATATTCCTAGAAGTGGGATCACTGGGTCAAATAGCAATTCAATTTTTAATTATTTGAGGAAGCACCATAGTGTTTTCTATAGTGGCAGCACCAGTCTGCATTCCCACCAGCAGTTGTACTAGAGTCCCCTTTTCTCCACACCCTCGCCAGCACTTGTTGTTTGAAGATTTGTTGATGGCGGCCATTCTGGCAGGTGTGAGGTGATACCTCATTGTTGTTTTAATTTGCATCTCTCTGATGATTAGTGATGTTGAGCATTTCTTCATATGTCTCTTGGCCATTTGTATGTTCTGTTGGAGAGGTGTCTATTCAGCTCCTCTGCCCATTTTTTAAATTGGGTTATTTGTCTTCCTTTTGTTGAGTTGTATGAGTACTCTATATATTTTGGAAATTAACCCCTTATTTGATGTATCATTGACAATGATGCTCTCCCACACAGTGGGTTGCCTTTCCATTCTAATGATTGTTTCTCATTTATTTTTTTATTTTTATTTTTTAATCTTTATTGTTGAATGTTATCACAGATGTTCTTCATTTCCCCTGCATTGACCCCCTCCTCCCCACTCCTGTCCCGCCTCCTGCCTTTTCCCACACTATTGTCTGTGTCCATTGGTTATGCATATAAGTTCTTTGGTTTATTTCTTCTCACCCCCCAACCCCTTTCCCTTTGAGGTTTGTCAGTCTAGCAATGAACTTGTACTTTTTAATCCCTTCACCTTTTTCACTCATTCCCCCAACACCCCTCCCATCTGGCAACCAACAAAATGTTCTCTGTACCTGTGAGAATGTTTCTGTTCTGCCTGTTCATTTTGTTTGTAGATTCCATTGTCGATAGATATGTATCCATTGCCATTTTGTTTGTTCATATATTTTATCTTTTTGTTCAAAAAGACCCTTCATCATTTCACATAATAACGGTTTGGTGGTGATGAACTCCTTTAACTTTTTCTTGTCTGGGAAACTCTTTATATGGCCATCGATTCTAAGTGACAGCTTTGCATGATAGAGTAATCTTGGTTGTAGGTTCTTGCTTTCCATCACTCTGAATATTTCTTGCCACTCCCTTCTGGTCTGCAAAGTTTCTTTTGAGAAATCAGCTGACAGACTTATGGGAACTCCCTTGTAGGTAACTAACTGCTTTTCTCTTGCTGCTTTTAAGATTCTCTCTTTGTCTTGAACCTTTTGCATTTTGATGATGATGTGTCTTGGTGTGGGTCTCTTGGAGTTCATCTTCTTTGGGACTCTCTGTGCTTCCTGGACTTGTATGTCTGTTTCCTTCACCAAGTTAGGAAAGTTTTCTGCCATAATTGTTTCAAACAGATTTTCAATTTGTTGTTCTCTCTCTTCTCCTTCTGGCACCCCCAAGATGTGAATGTTGGCACACTTGAAGTTGTCCCAGAGGCTCTTTACACTATCCTCATTTTTTTAAAATTCTTTTTTCTTTTTGCTGTTCTGATTGGGCATTTTTTGCTTCCTTATATTCCAAATCAATGGTTTGCTTCTTGGCTTTACTTACTCTACTATTGAATCTGTGTAAATTATTCTTTATTTTAGTTAGTGCCTCCTTCATTTCTGACTGTGCATCCATCATTTCTGATTGGTTGTTTTTTATGCTGTTGAGGCCCTCACTAAGTTCACTGAGGTTCACACCGAGTTCGTTGAGCATCCTTATAAGCAGTATTTTGAACTCAGCATCTGTTAGGTTGCTTATCTCCATTTCACTCTAGTTCTTTTCTTGGGGTTTTGTTCTGTTCTTTCATTTAGGACCTGATTCTTTGTCTCCTCATTTTGGCTGCCTCCCTGTGTTTGTTTCTGTGTATTACTTAACGAGAGGTATGGGGCTATCTGAGACCAGATGCTGCTTGTTTGGAAGAATTTAGTTAAACCTGAAGCAGGATTCAAGACAGGCCAATCCTATGGTTAAGCAAGTGGCACCAGCTTGGGTGGGCCTGAAAGTTGGGTGGGGCGGGGCCTCAGGGAGTCACCAGGGTGGGACTACGAGTGTGAGCCAGGTTTCTGGAGTCCCAGATATGGTGACTGTCTGATGCCCCAGGAAAAGGCTCACCAAAGGAACAAAGGCCTCTGACAGCATGTTTGTCAGGGAGAAAGCCCCCTCTCCCATCCTCGCTCCAGTGCCTAACAGCTCAGTTCTTCCCTGGATGTCTCTGGCGCCCTTTGAGCTGCCTTCCCTCCTAGTTTAGAGGGAGTGAGTCTGATAAGTCTGTGTGTGGGCCCTTTAAGGAGCTGCCTGGGCTCCAGCCACTTCAGCTTCCCTGAGCCTCAGTTATCGCTGGTGTTTGCAGCCAGAAGTTATGGGGATTCTCTTCCTG